CTGAGGAGGCAGAGCAGCTTGTTAATTTCTCAGAACTGTAGACAAAGATGCGAATGAGGTTTACCAGTTCTGGATCTATCAGAGTCTTCCAAGTTTCAAGACCTTAATCAGTGTGGTGAAGAAAATGTCATCCCCTGACTTTCACTTAAATAGTATCTGACAAGATCACCAGCTACAGTGTAGGTAAAGTCACACACAGACAACACTCAGGGACCAAGTAGTCCAAGGAGCTTTTGTGTCAAGGGTAGTACATATCTTTGGGAGTGTTAGTCAGATGGAGACTATTTTTTTTTAATTTTAAGAGAAAAATGCCAGCCTGGTGTGCTGGCACAAAGCCTGTAATCCCAGTACTTGGGAGGCTGAGGCAGGAGGATCACTGTGAGTTTGAGACCAGCCTAGGCTACATAGTGAGTTCTCGGTCAGTCTCAACTACAGAGTGAGATCCTGTCTCAAACTCCCCTGCCCCCAAAAAATTAAAATGCCAAGGTGAGTCAAAGACATTCTTTTCAACTCAGGCCTTTGGAAATAAGATACAAAATGAAAAACAGGATGGATATAGAAAGCCAGAATTCTGAGTTTAAGTAGCAGTCGATCTACACAGGGATCTACCTGTGTATGTCAGAAGAGTGAGGATATATTAGTGACCAGAGATCCTTTTCCCCTTGGTATTAAAGTATAACATTGATTACCTCTTTCAGCTTTGTTCAAGCGAGAGCTTCTAAGGATTTGTAAATAAATGTTGTCAGATCACCCAGGCTGCCTAAGATGCCCACTCTATTGAAATCATTTTCTTTTCCCTACACAGCAAATTAAAGTTCAGTTCTCATGATATATGTTATCCTCTAACACAGATGAATCTTTCTAGAATGAGCCAAGATAAGCACAATGTGTAGTTATGCATTCATGGGTGTTAGCATCACCTTTCCAACCACCACCTAAAAATGAACAAGGCTTTGAAGGTACATGACTTTGAGGGAAACTCTATTGGCTGGGTCTTTTTTCCTCTTGCTAAACCTAGGAAATATATGCAACACACTGGCAAAGCTGTTCTTGAGATAGATTTGCTGTATTACTGCCAGAGATCACTGATCTCCTCACGCAAGATTTGTGTTCTCATTTACATAGCATGTGAGAGGGAGAAATCTGTGACACTTGATAAGTATTGTGAAGAGAGTAGAGCATTGAGTGGAGACCAAGGTTTCAGTGTTATCTCTGTTATGATTTGGGGAAGGTGATTTACCTTCTCTGAGCCTCAGAATCCATATACATTAAATGGACATAATCATATGAATCTCAGGGTAAATGGAAAGTTTGAATGAGATGGTAGATGTGAAAAAATTACAACCCAGAATAGCACCATGTGAATTTCATTTTATTATGATTCATCCTCTGAGCCATCATCCAAGAGCAAGTGGTGTATGAATTGGGCACGCTGACAGCAGGGACTTCCAGGATTGTTAAAGGGCAACTACTCAGCTCACACTAGATACAAGGCTGTCTACCAGAGTAGGGAGAGGACACTTGAGAAAGTGTCATTTGGTCTGGAGCAATCTTCAGTGAGGTCTCCCTGCCATATCTTGGGCCAAGCCTCACCCTTTTCCTCAAACTTGACTGAAGATGCTACGGGTATGTATTTGGGTGGCCCCAACACCAGTTCAGTGCTGAAAAGAAAGTATTTCTTAGATGTCACTAATGCTGAGTGAACTAAAGGAGAAGTTGTCTTGTTTGTGAAAGCCAGGTGGGCCCCTTTGGGAGTGTCTCGTACTCCACCAAGTTCCAAAAGAACATCTGTAGGTTGTCAGGTGCTAGTCACCATATCGGAGCAAGCAAAGATGGAAACTCACAGAACTTTCAGGAAATGATCTGGATACAGAATACATTCTGTTCCAGCAACAAGCCCAACTTGGGAAGGGGCTGTTTGCTCAGTTTATGATAAGTAAATTGTCAAATTTCTCAACAAAATTGTTTTTAGAATTGAGGAAACAAATTTTCCAAGTGAACATATTTCAATCATCAGGTTCAGGCTGATAGTTTTCAGCTTCTTTCCAGATTTGTCATATGTAGAGAGACTGCAGCCTCAACCCATTCTTGGTAGATCTTGTCTACTCCATTTTCATTTTGCTTTTGGTAGAGGCAGGAGTGAAGTTGGCCATAGTCTAATTAAAACTGGAAAGGTTCAGACTGTTGTTGATAGCTGGATTCAAATGGAAAAATGGGACAACTCCATAAAATCCCATGTGCTCAGTCTTATCTCAAAGGATGGTGCTAGGGAGTGTGAGGGGGCTATGATGTTTCAATAAGAGGGTAGTGGGTATAGTGAGTGAGTGGGGTGGGAAAGCAGGTGGGCCTTTATGCTCTCCACTCCAGAACAGCTCTTTTGACCATTTTAGATGCTGGAAATTCACCGAACAAGTTTGCAAACCCCTGCCAAAGGACAGAGTTGCCAAGAAAAAGAAATGCTCAATTTGAGAGAGAGCATGAACTTGTTCCCAATTCAGCATTCTTTTGTGGCAGAAACGGAAAAAATAGAGAAGAGACTCTCTGGATTCACAGTAAAAACAAAATTTTGTGCAGGTTTAGAAAAAAAGATTTCTCTTCATCACACCAAGGTTAATAAAAGAACAGATCTTTTCTTCTCTCTGGAGACTGGTTTCCTGTAAAAACAAAATAAGCACGATGATGAAGATGTTGGCTCTGGAGTCAAATTAGCCCAAGTTTAAGTCTTGAATTCTCTATTGCCCAGCTGTTACACCTGGGGCCAGTTATCTGGTCTATCTGATTGTTCATGCTAATTGCATGCTTACTTCATAACAACTACTTCCTGAGATTCTGGCAAGGGTCGAGTTAAATATATATAATGCCCCTAGAAGATTGGCTGGCACATATCTTTTCAAGAAATGTTAGCTATTATTTTGTTTAAAAAGGCAGTGTCTCTGTACATGGCAGAGTTGAATTACTGTGTTGTCGAGCTGCACTTAGCTTAGTGAGCAAGACCAGAGAATTTGAAGCCAACGTGACTCTGACACTCACTTTAACTTTGAGTAGGTTAGTTAACTTCCCTAAAACCTCAATTTCCCCATCTATTCCTGAGTACAAATACAGGATCTGCACTGTAAGTAGCTACTAGGGTTTTGTTGCTTTCTGTTTTTGTAGTACTGGGGGCGGGTGTCTCATGAATGCTACGTAAGCACTCTACCACTGAGCTCTATCCCAGCCCACTCCTAGCTATAATTTTGCTTCACTTTTATAATTTTGTCATTCTCCTCCTCTCTAATGAGCTTGTATTAATCTGAGCCAACCATTCCTGTGTAGAATCTGTCACCACTCACAAACATGGAACCCTTACAATCTCAGTTTCAAACATCCATTCTCCCACTTCATTGGTTTAAGCTCTTATCTCTGCATTTTTATGTAACCTCCAAGCCTTCTGTCTCCACTAGCCTGGCAACTTTCATCTGTGTCCAGTTCCTTCTTTATGCCACTTGGATACCGCGATCTTTTGTTAAAATTCACTTTCTAATACTCTCCATTCCTCATTCTTATGTGTCATGATCACTTGCCACAACCTCATCCCTGGGTAAGGTAACCACTGCCTTGTCTGCATGTTATATGAACCTAATGTCACTGGTGAAAATCGCACAACACAGCTGGCTGTTCCTATTTGAAATGCTTGAGAGATGTCAGAAAGCATTCAGAAATTCTGATTCTATTTCTCACTGGCAGGCTTGCTGTTCCAATGCCCCCAAAGACTTTTTCATACTTTCCTACTCTCTTCAAACGTTTTACATGCTCACTCTCAGCTCATGAGCCTGCCTCTAGAGTTGATTGAGAAAACAGAAATCATTAGAGGACTCCACACACAAGCAAGCCTAAACATCTATTTGCATTTATCATTATCCTTTTTACTTTATACATTTGTAATGGCAGAGCAGTTCCTCTTCCCATGAATTGTCAATGCTTCTACACGTCCCTTCTTTCTTTCTAACAGCTTTACCCGTGAAGTTATCCCCATCTTCCTACACTATCAGTTTCTGTCCTTACTGGAATGTTCCCACTACCATTCAAATAGTCTGTAATATTTGCCATTAAAAAAAAAGCTTTCTCAAACCCCACTAGTCTTCTTAGCTATCCCATCACTTTTCTTCTCTGATTTAATGTTAAAGTCCTCTAAGAAACTGCTGGAACTTACTGTCTCCATTTTCTCATCTCCCATTCACTCAGTCCAATCTGTCTCTGTCTGCATCACAGAATGAAATCTGCTCTTAACAAGGTTACCAAACATCGTCTTCTTTTGTTGTTGTTTCACCGGAGGCAAGGCTTTATTGGGGGAAAGAACTGCCGGGCTACCTCAAACGACGGCGAGAGAGGGCAAGACTAACTGGGGTGAGGTTTATATAGGGCTGAGCAGTGGGGAGAGTATTGTGAGAGTTGAGCAACAGGATGCCACGTGATTGAACGGGGAGGATCATGTGGGTAGCAGGGTGGAGTGACAAGTTAGGTTTTGCTTCTCCAGAGGGGGTAGGTTTCACTTTTCCAATATGGCTCATTTCCGGAAGCTGGAACCACTTCAGGAATGGGAGCCATTTTAGAATGTAGGTCCATTGGGGCCATTTTGTCTAGTAGAGAACTCTCTCATTCCAGACTCTTGTTATTATGGAATAATAACACAAAGGGGATCAGAGACCAGTTAGGAGAAAGAAGCATGAGTGGATGATAGCTTGGAAAGGTCTTTTTTCCTGTAGCTGCTTCCTGCTGGCAAAGGGCCATTGTTGGGTGGGGGTTTTAGAAGGCTGAGGTGTGGTCTTGGTAGGTGGAGTAGAAAGGAACTGGTAGCCAGCTATGACAAGTTCATCAAATGCATACTTTCCAAAGATTTATGATCCAATACATAAGGTTCTTTCACGTCCTGGATTCTTTGTTGACTTTGAGGGACTAAAGCCAAAATATTGGCAGTCCTCTTAGCCCAGTTACCTTTCTAGTTTTGGTCTCCAAACCAGAGACTAGGGATTGGTGTGAATCAGGGTATCAGCAATGGCAAAGGTGAAGGCTCCTGGTGGGGTGCTCATCCGGTAGGGTTCAGGAAGGATAGCTGGGAGGCCAATGGACCACGACCAGCAGGGGGTCATCATGAAATCCCAACCACTGCCTTCCCTGGTTTCAGGAAAGAAAATGAACTGAAACAGTTGCACCTGAGGCAACATTTACTGGGGGAAAGAGCTGTGGGGCTACCTCAAACAGTGGCAAGAGCTATCAAACATCTTTGAAGCCACATCCAGTAGAAATTTCTCTGTCCTCTTATTTGATCCATCCTCTTATTTGATCTCTTAGCCACCACTGACACAATTGATTTTTCCCTCTGTTTTGAAGCATTCTCCTCTTTTAGTTTCTCTTTTGAAGCACAACATCCTACTTCTCTCAATCCACTGGCTGCTCCTTTTCAGTCACTTCCGTTGGTTCCTAGTATCCTCAACCTCTAAAGATTGGTATTCTCTAGGACTCTGTTCTCTGCCTTCCTCTCTTCTCTGTCTACCTCCTCTTTCTAGGTGATCACATCCAATGGGTTTAAATGCCATTTGTATACTATACTGAAAAATCTCAAACTCTTCACTTGCATATACAACTGCTTAAAACATATATCCACTTGTGTGTTGTATGGGAACCTTAGCCTTAACATTGCCAAAACAGAGTAGGGTTTTCCAATGGTTTGATACATGTACCACCTTCCCCACCTAGTTGCTTTAGCAGGAAATCTAAGAGCTAATCTAGCATCTTCCTTTGCCTCACCATTCCTGTTCAATCCATTAGCAAGTCCTAAATGTTACAGTTCCAAAATACATGTCCAATTAATCTACTTGTATCCATCTCTACTGCTGCCACCTAGTCCAAGCTATCATCCACTCATGCTTCTTTCTCCTAACTGGTCTTGGATCCCCTTCATTCCCTTTCCCAATCTATCCTCCCCACAATAGTTTATGTGCCCTTATCAGATGCAGACTGAATCGCACTGTAATCCTTCCATCCCACTCACCAAGTCACTTAGGACATGAAATTTAAACTCTCAACATTACCTATAAGGCCTTCTGTCACTTGGTCCCTGAATACCTCTCCAGCTTTGCCTTGTGTCACACTCTTCTTGTGTCACTGCTCTCCAGCCACTCTGGTCTTTGTTCCCCCCAATGTCTCACATGCCCCTTGGACCTTTGCAGGGATACCTTCCTCCACCTCCCTCCATCTCCTCCCTAACTCTTCCTGAAACTAGCTCTCCCATTCACACTCACATGCTACTTCCTCAGAGAGGTCTCCCTTGACCAGCTTAAGGGAAGTTGGCTCCAACTTTCCCTATTTTAGTACATTGAGTGTTTCCTTTATAGCACTTATCATAATTTGCAAATATTTTAGTTCTTTCCCTTTTGAGGGTTTATCTTCCCCATAAGACTATTAACTGAGACAGTTTTATTCATTTTTATATTTCTAAAATATTATAGCACAATATCAACAGTTGTTATTACTTACATATGTTGAAGTAATGTACAACCAGTGTTTTTTCTACAGGCAAATTAAAATCAAATTCACTAAAACCTTTGGCACCAATGTTTGTGGAGCTGGCTGGCCTCCAGAATTGCCTTTGTTCAAAGTCTCTCTGACCACTCTCCTGGCTCTGATTGCTCTTCTGCTCCACATGACCCCTGACTCATAGGTACCTGAAAGGCTAATTCCATACAGAAGATGCAAGAGGATGCTATTTATCTAGGGTCTCACATAGCAAATCTTTCATCACTATTGGAATTTCAACTGAAGGTTTCATGCAGTTCACTTCAAAACGAGGGGTTAACAAAACTATACAGAGAGTAAAACACATGAAGAGGTGACTGAATCTCATGGCAAATCTACTCAAACAGGATGTGGGGGTGTGTAATCCAGGCCATTAAGGAGCTTCCTTTGCAGCCTCTCTCTGCAGCTTCCCTCTACCCAACCCATCATGGCAGGATGGCAGACTTGAGACTTTTGGCACAGCTGTGTACCTATTCTCAACACCCACCCCCAGCCACTTCTGCAAGGAAAGGTTATCTGCCTTTTCCCCTCTCCAGAGGTAGTATTGCTCTTCCTTCTTTCAGTTGAATTCTCAGTCCTCTGTATTCCTCTTCCTTTATTCTAGGATAGTGTCCTGGCCTCAGATTAACAGCGAACCCATGTACTATGAAACAGTCTCATCAACTGCTATTTTTCACTGTTGATTTAAGCTGGAATTATTACTGACGATTGTTTTGAGGATACTGTGAGAATAAGGAGATAACGTTACGTCTGCTCCTTGCTGTTTTATGATCTTAAGGCAAGTCCTTTTGTCTCTTTGAGACATTTTCCTTATTTATAAAATGAGAGTATTCATTCATTCAAGTATTATTTATTGGATATCTGTTGTGTAAAGCAGCTAGGATATACTTATACATAACAAGGTCATTGTAGAGGTCATTGTAGAGAGGAGCAGGACAGTGTATATGGTATCTGCCTCATAGTCAACTCCCTATACATGTTGTAATTTGGACCTCAAAACAATATAAAGCATTATCAGTATTGCCAAGTCTTTACAATAAGATATGCAGAAACTCTTCACAAGTGCTTAGGGAACATCACAGTCCCCACTTTCATATGTTAGCAAACCCGCAGAGCTTACTGCCTTGGGCAGGGATTTATGTGAAGCCTGACTCAGCAAAGGGTGGAACCAGTGCTAAATGTCTCTTCTCGCTTGGGTATGGCCAGTTAATCACCGAGGTTGGTTGGTTTGTCTTACCAAAAGATCTTAAGCAGAATAATCTTTATTATATTGGCGGATATTTTCTATTTCCTTTTAAATGTTCTTATATTGTTGCCAACATTCATCCATTTATTCATCCATCCATCCATCCATCCATTCATTCAATAAATATGTATGGCCCTTTATGCTAGGCATTGTTGCAGGTATTAGAGATGCAACAGTCCACCCCTCAAACCTCAGCTCTCACGGAACTGACATTTTGGTAGGGATCTATGTAACACCCCTCTCCCTCTTCACACTACACTGTAAAATGCCTGAGGTCAGGAATGATTGCCAGCACTTTTTCCTTTTGGTCTTGTCTTCGATACATGGCATGGAGCACAGTTTGGGGCACACAGGATTCCCTCCAAAAAGACTTACCTGTTTTGATAGCTTATTAAGTGCCAGACATTATTCTAAGCATTTGCATACCTTATTTCACCTGATGCTCTGAGACGCCCTTTGAAGTGATTACTATTTTATGCTTATTCTACAAATGGGGAAAGAGGCATAGAGAGATTAAGAAATGTGACCAAGTTCCTTAGTCCGGTAAGTAATGAAGCTAGGGTCTGAACCTTAAACTTAAGCTATGAAGGTCCTCTTCCCATTCTACCCAGGCTGTCTTCATTTTGAAGCTCCTACTGCCACCTCATTCAAATTGAGTGTAGAACCCCAAGTTTGGGTTTCAGTCACATTTTCCCTGACTGCAGAGTCCTGGGGTGACCCTATGTGCTAGGCTGAAAATTGAACACTTCTGATACAGCAAGCTAACCTTCGCAGATCTGTTCATTTTTCTGAGTCATCTTGGTTACCTCAGCTAAATTGGGCTTAGATTAAAAAATACAGTAGAATTGCTCCTCTAGTAAAATGAGAAAACATTCCAGAAGTTTTATAAGACATGAAGTGCACAGACTCTCTGAAACTGAGATGAAACAAATTCTATCAATGAAAATACAAAATAACAGAAATAAAATGTCCCGTCAGCTGCTGGAGACCTTGGTTTCTATACCACAAACTTCACAAGTTTCTTCTTGGGATACAGAATCACAATGTCAAAGGCTAAACCAGATACCTACTTTCATTGGCAAGCCCAGGGCTGACAGGTCCATGACTTGGAGAGACATATACTTTTTTACCTGGAAAAGAAGAAGAAAAAATGACTCAAAATGAAATCTCTGTATCTTGGGTAGAAAATATCCAAAAGCACTCCCAGGGCCCTAGATTGGCTGCCCCTCAGTTTATGGGCATCTGACATATCTTCTCTTATCAGATGCTAAGACTCAGAAGCTCCTGTTGTTAAGCCTCCTTGAAACTTGTTCTCGTCTACCAGGCAGTGTTCCTAAGAGATGCTGACTTTCTCAACAGATCCTGCATAAGCCACCAATGAATATAACTGTGCCATTATTAGGAGAGTGTGAAGAACTCACAGCAGTTGAGACTTTAGTGATAAACATTTATTTGTGAATGTGTGTCTGGAGGTTGCAGAGATTTCTCCATGATGTGCCTGGTATAGAAGATGGTCACTAAATATTTGCTGAATTGGATTTGAACTATAAAGCATTGTTATGTTTGGAAGATGATAACCTGAGCCATCTGTGTTCTAACCAACTGTTGAAATAGGGCTCTACTGTGTGTATGCACATGTATGTATACAAACACAGTTGTTCTAATCTTCCTTCTAAATCTAATACGAGAAGAATTTTGAGAAAACAGTTATAGGGGTGGGAATTTTCAGATTTCCCAAGCATGACATTTTTTATGATTTACTGTCTCCACACACTGCCGATCAAACTCTGGACTTGTGCATTTTAATGGAAAATTTGTTTTCAAACACAGTGCAGGATTTAGGCAGGCTATACTGAACAGGTCCTTTGTGTACTATATGCTTAGTTCCCAACAAAGACAGCTTCCAGTAATTCCTTTCAGACATGGAACCACAGATATGTATAGACTAGGGAACTGTAAAAGAAAATTCATCCATAGTACAGAATGCTACAGAGGATGCAGGCTTGGCTGTATGCAACAGTTATATTTACAACAAGTATTTCACAGGAAAGGTACCTCTTACAGCAGAGTGGGTTGCTTTTTGGTGAAAGTATAATTCAGGCCAATTCTTCCCCATCCTTTTACAAAGAAGGGAGTTCTGTTTTCTGATGGGTATTTTACATACACCTAGTAGGCTCAGCTAAATATTTGCAGGGTGAGTGTGTGAATGAAAGAATGAGTGAGCCATAAGGGTGTACTTCGTTCAGGGGGAGAGGTGGCTGTCAGAGCACAGTAACCCCAAGGAAACCAAGCAGGAGGAACCCAGTGAGCAGGAGCAAGCCACAGGCAGCCAGGCACTGTTACAACTCTAGGTAGAGATGGGGCTGTCTTTCCAGTCAATATGAACTTTAATGTGTGGAGCAGATGGCTGGTATTGTTTTTGCCCAGGAACTTGGAATCATTGCAAGTTGTCAACCTGTTTGGAGACTAGAGTTTGAGCCTATAGGTTATGTCATAGACTTCTGTTTCGCAAATAGATTATTTCGTGACTCTTAAGGAGGTAAGTGAGACTCTATGATTTTAGGCAGTAGCACAACATTTTTCTAGGAAAAAGCGAAGTGTAAAGACTCAAGTGGATATCTCAAGCCAAGTCTCTCTGGCTGCCTATCCATGTAATCCTTTAGCTATTAAACTGTGAATGTCAGTGAAGCCTAGGGAAGATACATAGATGTTTATGCAGAACATCCCATTCCTCAGGAGCAGCAGCCCCACGTCCAGAGTGGCGGCAGTTTGTCTTAACACCCCATCTCATGCCAAATCACTCCCAAACACAACCAATCAGAGACCATCCTCCAAGTATCCGTAAGCATTTCCTTACAGTGGACTGAGCTGGGAGGCAGGTTGAAGAGTAGTCCTGTGCTTCCAGCTATCTGGACGGGGTTGTAATCTTCTCTCATGGCCGTTTCTGGAGGACAAGTTAAGCATCTGTCCTGCTGGAGGAAACTTAGGAAGGGCTCACATTTCCTAGTAGGGTGAGGCCCTGGAACCAGGTGCCCACCAGGAAATGCTTGAGAGTAGCCAGGCTCTGGGGAGCTGGGGGTTGCCAGAGAAGGGAAATGCCACAGCTCCCTAGGCTGAGCAGAGGAGGTCTCAGGCAGGGCCAGCGGGTAGTGATCCACAGCCATGGGATCACACACGCTCAATCTGCTGGTGGTGGCAGGAGTGGCAAGGGATGCTTCCGGCTGTGGCTTTGTCCATGGAGAAGAGAAACGCCAGTGATTCGGAGGCATGTCACTATCTGGGAGAGAACAATTTAGAAGACATGTTATGTGTTTACTTACCATTTTGAAGACGGAAATAGCGTTTGTTTTGGTTAATGGATGCTGCATTTCTTAATTTGAAGAAAACATTTACAAACGTTTTAAAACCACATTAATCACAGTATCAAGAAATAGCCAGTGTGCTCTTTTGTTGTCCTTCCAGGATTCCTTTCTATTTACGTGTACATTGTTTTCACAGTATACTGTTAACCAAGCTGAGTTTTCTTCACTAAAATATCATGAATATCATGTCACAGCCAATCCCAACTTCTTTCTAGGGTTTGTTTTATTTGTGTATGCATTGTTTTCACAATATGTTTTGTTATAAGTTGGTTTTTCTTCATTAAAATATAATCTCATGGTAATAAATAGAGCCAAAAAAAGTAAGATAATGAAAAGGTTGAAATAAAGTGCTTGTAGATGGGGAGAGGAGGAGGGGGTGAAGGGAGGGCAGAGGTAAGGGGAAAAAATGAGAATCAAGACTTGTCATGTAGAGGTACAAGATCCCAACAATGAAAGTAACTGTACTGTATCCCTAAAATGTACCAATAAACTCAATTAAATCTGAAAAAAAAATAAATAGAGCCAAATATCAGCTTTTTAAATGACTTTCCACTGTTCCATCAATGGACAGTAATGGACTAACCGGTGTCATATTTGTGAGCAGCTTAGTTCTTTTCATTTTTTTCAATTATATTCACACCATTTCAGTGAGCTTCTTCGCATACACGTTTGTCCCACTGTCAAATTAACTCCTTCAGAAAACTTCTCTGAAAGTAAAAGTATTTGATTTGTGTTTGCTTGCTGCTATTCTTTAGTTCTATGTTATCACTAGTCTTTTAAATATACCAAACAAGAGGACTTTACAGAGCTTTATAGAGTTTAACGCTTGCCTGTGTTAGTCATTCACACAATTCTAGGGGTGGCTGTTCCATTTCCCGAGGTATCTGAGGCATGGGAGTGTTGAGAGACTGGGCCAAGGTAGCAAAGCAGTTTAGCCCAGTAGGGAACTGGGTAGGAAAGTAGTTGCTTGGCACTCTCTCTGCAAAAGCAGTGTGGTTAGGGTCAGGAGGTGACCCAGCTTCTTGCCAAGTCCATGTGGACTGGCTACTAGGACGAAGTCTGCTTCGGTCCCATAGATACTATGCTAATTGTGCCTGTCTCAGTGGCTGAATCTGAGATCTCAGATGTCTAAGATAGCTCACTACATGGATGGATGTTTTTCCATTCTCGACACCCACTCAGGCGAGAGAGGGGGAGGAAAGAACTCTGCCAGATGGTGCTTAAAGCCTGGAGCCTCTCATCTATCCAAGATAATGGGGGAGGGGGCATGCAAGTGGAAAACAAAGAAAGTTGGCTGGCAGGAGAGCCTGTCTGAGGCACTCATCCCCTCTCCCTCCACAAGTACCTCTTCTAGCTCTCTCGAATGTTCTATTGGACTGGATTTTGTATAAGATAAAGACATTTGAAAAGCAAGCATAGTGCTGCTGCAGTGGCCCTACCCACCACCACAGCTTTCTGTGTAATGCAGATGACGAGAACAAAAGAAGCCCCATCCCACGTGGCACGGACCTTCTGCTCCTGATCTCACAGCGTTCACTAGGAGCAATGGACAATGGCAGGCCTCTTCTGATGAAACCAAGGGCAAGGGAATATTCCTAGGGGCAAATGTTAGTTTTGAAAATTGATTCTCTTTGGGACAGTAGCAACTCGGGTACTGTGTGGCACAAAGAAAGTGACTAAGCTGATTTCACAGAATCACTGTCAGTGATTTATATTGAATGGGGGTGATGCATATCCTAAGCATAATTAGAAACAAAACGTAGCCTGTGACAACCTGGTGGTTTCCATCTAGACTGGCCTTAAGGACCACATACATATGACTGAGGTGCTTGCTAAGTGCTTCATGTGGAGAGTAGGGCTCCAGGGTGCTTTGAATGTTTCTGTTAATTGCATACCTTCCAGAGCTCTGAGGCTGAAATGTTAAGGGGTACAGGTGGAGTGGTGCCATGTAACCACTGGGTGCACCAAAATACAGTCTGGATAGGAGCTTGAGGGGAAATACAAGGTGTCTCCACCCTGAGGTCATAGCAATCCAATGGCTATGGGGGAACTGGGGAAACATACATTTCCAGATCAGGCTTGGGTGCTGGTGGTCCATAGAGTGGAGACCCTACACTTGGGTGGGCTATTTTTTCTTGGGCTTCTTGGGCCAACTTTTCCAACACCCATGTATATCTACCCCATGGACAGTGGAAGGCATCTTAAACCGTAGCCTGGGTTGACACAATGCTGCTGTTGCTAATAGAAGTGGTTCTAGTGACATTCTTACCCATTGCTTAGTTACCTGTTGAAGTGTGTGTGTGTGTGTGTGTGTGTGTGTGAGAGAGAGAGAGAGAGAGAGAGACAGAGAGAGAGAGAGACAGAGAGACAGAGAGAGAGAGAGAGAGAGAGAGAGAGAGTAATAGGGATCAGTTTGCTACCTTCTCAAACCCCAAACTACATTAATGAATGGAGAGCAAGTAAGAGACATTTTCAACCAGGTACTCTTAGGGTAGAGTGGGATTATTCTTTTAGTAGAAATACTGGATGACTTCTATATACTCCAACCATAGACATATAGACCCTATCCCTCTATATCCAGCCCCCTAGAATGCCTGAAGCTTTTCATCCCTACCTAAATAGTCCTGCCTCCACGTCCCACTTTGCTCCTTTGGATGAAACTGATGGATTCTCCATGCCTCCCAAGCACACCCAGAGGCATCACCGATTCTCACCATATATATTTCTGGTAAGCATAGAACATTGTAGAAAGAATTTCTGGAACCAAAGAGTTTGCCATCAACCGGGAAGACTATCCATCCGCTCTGCATAGTAGCCCTAACTCCCTATCCCAGTCTCGTTTCTGTACACACAGACTTGAATGTCATCCTCTCACAAAGAATTCCTTCAAATCTCCAGTTTAAAGTTGCTTATCTTGTTATTTTCTGTGACCACGCCTTATTTATTGCCTCTATAGCAGTAATCCTATCATTTCTGCATTCATTCTTTCACCCATTCATTCAGTCACTGTGGGGCTTCCTCACTACCCAGTAAGGATTAAGAGGGCAGAGATCATTTCCCTTCTACTCACTGCCATATCACCTGCCATTTGCACAGTGCCTGGCACAAAATAGGCCCTGACTAAATATCATTCCAATGCATGCACACACATCCATGCAGTCACACACATGTGTACACATAATTACATATACACATAGCTGCAAATGTGTATATCCAGAAGCACACATATATATTCATGCACACACACACACACACACACACACACACACACACACACACACCCCTTTCCATTTCATCTTTTTAAATTGAGAAAAGAACCATGCAAAATGGTAAGGAGCACAGACTTTGAAATCAGAAGGTTTAGAGTCCAGACCCAGATCTTCCACTTACTAGCTCTGTGACACTGAGCAAGTCCGCTCATACCTCTGAGCCTCCTGGGACTGTTGTGAGATTGGATGAGACAGCTTACACAAAGGGCTTAGCATAGTGGCTGGAATTATAATAGGGGCCACTCAACAAATGGCAGCCATTCTGTCGCTACTACTAATCATCTCAGTTTATGAACCCAGTTTGGGTATTTTTGTACAGATTTTCAGGGTTCAGCATGTCCAACCCAAGAAAACTTAAAGTGGCAGCTAACATATGAGGCCTAAGAATCGTTCTTGCTACTAGTCACCTGGTGCCAGAGAAGGGGGCGTAGAAAGGAGGGAGCTGAGAGCTGAGACGTCTACAACAGCAGCAGACGCTACAGCACTTCAGGGCTGGTGTGGAGGATGGAATAGGTATTGGCTATAAAAGAAATTTCAGAGGGGGTGAGGGGAGGGCAGGGACAAGGGGAAAAAATGAGAACCAAGACCTGTCATGTAAAGGTACAAGATCCCAGTAATGAATGTAACTGTAGTGTATATCTAAGAGGTACCAACAAACTCAATGAGGGGAAAAAAAAAAGAGAGAAATTTCAGAAGCCTTTATTCCGTCTGCGTTCTTTTCCAGGGAATAAGACATCAGAAATGGACAGAAATAATTTGTAAATATAGAACAGCTTTTGTGTATTGAGTATTTACTTTAAGCCAAGCATTTTGCTCAGCACTCTGCAGACATATGCCAGTTAATCTTCATCGGCAACTGACTGGAGTAAGAGTCTCCTGGAAAGGTGATTAAATCATGGGAGCCTATATTCATCGGTGGATTAGGCTACCGATTCTCATGGCTGAATGTGCTGGAGGAGGTGAGTCACTGGGGGTGTATCTCTCACTAGGGCTCTCCCCTTCTGTTTTGCCTTCTAGTAGCTTTGTTCTACCACGCCCATGCCATGATGTCCCTGCCTTGGAGCCAGCCTAACCATGGACTCAAACTTCTGAACCTGTGAGCCAAAACAAACCTCTCCTGCTTACGCTGTGGCGTGCCAAGTATTTTGGTCACAGAAACAGGAAATCTGACCCATACCTATGAGCTCTTTTGATCCTCACAGCAAGCCGCCAGATAAGAAAAGACTCCCAGTGGTTCAAATATTTTGCCTAGGGCCATCCAGTAAGTGGCAGTGTTGTTTGATTCCAGATTTCATGCTCTTACTGGCTATGCCTCCCCTGTATTGTAAAGAATTCAGGTTAGTGGTTAACTGGGCATTTTTGTGCACTGCTGTGACTGGAGAGGTGGCATAGCATTTAGGGGAAATCATTTGCCGTGTATATCAGACCTATGTGGTGGCAAACACTATAACCACTCTTTACCAGCTGTGTGTCTTGGACAAGTCACTTGAATCTCATCACCAGAAATATGAGCACAGGTTGGTGTAAAAATTTAGTGAGATAATCCGTGTGAGAGTCTGTAGCAGAGGGACTGACACATCAGGGACACAGTAAATGTTGGTCACCATGAACATCATTAGCGCTAGTCCTTATGCATATTCAGCTTCTTGCTGGGTGCTGTGAAGCTCTCAAGGTCTACAGAGGGCAGGGAAGACCGGCTCTGGGGACTGATAGGCCTGGGTTTTAATCTCTATTCCATACTGTTTAATTCATCTTTCAAATCATCCTTGTGGGGTTGCAGTTTTCTCCTCTGTAAATAGGATAGTAATATCCACTGTAAGCTGATTTGGTGAAGTACAACCAACATGAAGAAAAATGAACAAATATATGCACGCAGCAGAGGGAATTCGCACAAACACAGGAATGAGCACCCAGACGGAGGAACAGAACGTGGCTCCCACCTCGGAAGACCCTTTGGGTGCCTTCCCAGTCACTAATCTCCCCCAAGGTAACCTAGCTCCTAACACCATACATTTGATTTGCTTATTTTTAAACACTGTAAACTTTAGCAGGTTTTAAGTAAATGCAGTCATTTTAATGTACTGCCTGGCACCTAATGAGGCTCAATAAGTTTGTACACATTCCTTTCTCTTCCCAAAAAGGAAGGCACAGAGTTGTGAAGACTCTCAAAGGCTCCACAGAACTAACATTATTAGGGCACACAGGGAGACTCACCTAAAAGAGAAAACCAGCATTTGTTCCTCACTGCCACTAATCATGGTGGATGGGAGACAGAGGGAAGGAGGTGGGACTGTGAGACTGGAAAGGGAGCCCTTAGCAGGTGCTCAGGTACACAGCAATCCTGGAGCATGTTATGAGCCCTAGCCTGCACTCAGACTAGGCCTGGAGGTGGGACAGGCAGAACCTGGGCTGAGATATAAACCAGCACCCCACTCTGAAATCAAGGTTATTGAAGCTTCCTGAAGTACTGACTCTGAAATCCTCAGTGTCTTTTGAAAGGGGAGATAACTTAAATGTACTTTCAATATGTTTTGTTTCCTGAAGTATAGCCAGTGTGAATTTACTTAAGTAAATAAAAAATAACTTTGATTTCGGGGCAGGGGAGCCAGAAATTGGATGGCATTTCCTAGCCACACAGCTCTCTGTGTTTGGGATTTACATATTTGGCTTAACAGAGTACCTCTTAGAATGCAGACAAGTCTTCTTTGGTGGGAGCAGGTGAATGGGGTCCTGTTCTCCTCAGCCTAGCTTAGCCAGGGTTAGGTGGCCTGGGGCTGGCCTATAGGGGTCAAGAGGGTGCTAACTAGCAGTAGTGAAAGGCCACTTTATAGATTTCCCACCACTTTCAAAGCTGCATAACATGACACCTCTGGTGAGAACTTTGACAGAACTGAACTCCTTTCATGGAGTTTTGCCTGGAGGCGACACAGTTTAGGAGAAATTTGACTCCTCCTTGTGATAAGAGAGGCCTTGAGGGATAAAGTCTTCCTTTCAGTTGCTCAATCGGCCTAACCTGCAACATGTTCGGAGAGTGGGAAAATGTGACAACCAAGAAGGTGAGTGGAGAAAAAAAATCCACCTTTCTATTTGGCTTGGGAAGGCTGACTCAGCCAAGCTTTCTTATCAAGGAGGGGCTTCACAAAATGATTCCGAGTAAAGTCAGAAGGCATAGAAAATCCTACGGCAGCCACACAGCAGGACCCACTGGAAATTTGGAGCCTTACAGGTGAAGCCTTCTGCTCTGTGATCATTTTGAATGCAGGCCATCATAGCCCTCTTAGTTGTTAAAAAACATGTCAGGTGCAAGCATCACCCCCACAAAAAGTAGCTAACACCTACAGAACACCTACTGCGTGCCACTTGACATGGAGAATCACATTGAGTCCTCCAAAGCATCCTCCTGTAATTAAATAGTATTAGATTTCGCTGGTGAGGAAGCACGTACAGTCAGAGGATGTGATATGCTTTGAAATCATACTGTTAGGAAGGGGTGGAGCTGGTCTAGCACCAGGCTGCCTTGTTCTAAAGCTGTGCACCACACTATCCCCTCCTCTAGACCTCATGCTGTGGTCTGTAAATTATGTATCCCTTCTGAAGCTCGTGTTTAAATTTACTCCCTACCATGAGATATTATGAGGGTGGAAGCTTTGTGTGGTGATTAAGATTAGATAAGTTCATCAAGGAGGGACCTGATGATCGAATCACTGGTGGCTTTACAAGAAGAGGGAGAAAGACAAGAGGATGCACTCATGTGTTCCCAGCATCTTGTCGTGTGACACCCTAGACTGCTTGGGACTCTACCAGTGTAAAAGCCCTCAGCCTTGGGCCAGAACTATGAGCCAAATTTAATGTCTTTTCTGTATAATTCACTAAGTCGGTGGCACTGTGTTATTAGCAGCAGAAAAATGGACCGATACGCTGCACCTGCGGGGTCAGTTCCCTGTGATCCAAGTCACAATTTCACTCATTTAAGCAATATACACTGATGCCTTCCGCAAGTCAGGCATTGTGTTAGGTGCTTGGGCAGCAGCAGTCAACAGACTGACTCTCTGCTGCTGTGAAATTCAGAGTCCAAGTGGGCCAAGGAGGAGTCAACAACAAAACACATACATTTTCACTGTGGTTGGTGGTGACAAATGCTAAGACGAAAACTAAAACAGTAAGAAGACAAAGGGACCCTTTGAGGGCTTCTAGTTTTTAACATGTCTCTGAAACAACGGGAGATCATGTCGCTCTTGTTCCTGCTCTGATCATTCAACACATTCCTGAAAATCAACTCCCCACTCTCTCCGCATGGTCCTTTGGCCATTTAAACAGCATGCTCCACACCATTTCTCTGGAGTCTACTACCATGTACCCTTTCATACAGGTTTACTAAACCCATGAGATGCTTCCAAAAAAAAATCCTATCACTTGACTGTAAAAGTAATTTCCAAGAAAGAAGTAATTCTGCCAAAGTGAGCACATCAGATTCACATTATTGCCCCTGGAGACACAAAGAACAAAGCAAAAACCATGGCAATGGAAAAAAAGGTGAGCTCTTCACCTGCAGGCCAAGGCCCCACCAGAGGCTTTCGACATGTAGGCTTGACAACAGCAATGAAGAGCTCTCAGATCCAACCAGACCTTGATCTGTTTGCACATTTCACAAAAGCTAGAGATTCACTGATTCACATCCATGGCAGGAGTGAGTCCAATATGACCAGGAGCCACAGGGTTTAGGGCTCCTGAATACTTCAAAGGGCCCAAGGAAATGTTGTCACTTGCTTTAAAATCAAAAGAAAACTATGAATAAGATAATGATACTGCATGTATTACAAATGAATCCAGCCTAGATTTAATTCATTGGTATAGCCACACAGTACTAAAATGCAACTTTGAATATCTTTCTAAAGGAAAGGAGCCCATGAATGCAAAAGTGTCTAGGGTCCGTGGAAGTCCTACCGTGGCCTTTGCCAGCTTAATGTGTATGTCCTCCCCCAAATCTGGATGTGCACATTGTGACACAGTTCTCTTGAGCAATAGACACCCCTGACCCTGTGAAGAGTGGGAGAGGGATGTGATAAGACTCATCATCTGTCTCCTTCTGGCCCCTGCCCTTGCTCACCAGATCATTCACTATTGGTTGAGAGGAGGCTGGGAGCCCTAACATGAGACATGCTTTATCTTATCATGGATTCTTTAGTCTCCTGCTCTCAGGCTAATAGTTACTAATACTAATACTGATACCGGTGATAACAGTGAACAGTTGTTGAGCTCTTATTGTGCTGAAGAAAGAACCCAGTGTTTAACATAATTGAGGAAGTAATGAAATAGGTGAATGACTTTTGCTTAAAGTGTGCATCTTTACATTAACTTCTAAGAAGGCAGTGTGACTTGCCTTCAGCCAATATGCATATGTCGGAGTGCACTGAGCACCTCAAAGCCCTGTTAAGGAATTCCAGCCTCATCCCTTTCAACATGCTCACCATTCTTCAGGATCACTTCTTCATTCTGGCTCGAGGGGCTCAATTCCTGGGGCCGCCTAATATTACTCAGAGCTCTGGAGAAGTGCTCATCCACTTCACTGCTGATGTCCCCCTGGAAATAGGTGAAAAGGACACTCCTGGAATTCCATTCAGTCTTTATAGGCTTCTGCCTACTCGTGGGCAGTTGGGTGTCGGTCTTCTTCATCTCTTCCATTCTGAGAGAACAACGCAGGTGATAGCTGTAAACAAAAAGGAAAACATCACTGGTACTATTTTACTAAGGGGCTTGGCTATAATTTAGATGAGTGGCACTTTTTTATGGTGTGCAAACATTTATTAAAATTGATGACATGTTTACTCCTCTTGCCCACGAGTATTCAGCCAGCTGCCTACAATAAAAACACTACTTTTAGTCATATTTCCAGATTTCAACTTAAATGGTACTTGGGGAACACAGAATATCAGATCTTTTGTCATTATAAAACAATCAGTGAGATATGAGCAGCATTCCTGAGGGTAAATAGTTTGTTCCTACCCAGTACAGCTTCTCACTGAAGCCCCAAGGAGCCACTAGGATCCTGAAGGTCAGCAACAACTCTAGGATGGACTGCAGGCCAGCTGAGGAGCCTAGCCTAATCAATGTTTAGCGAACAGCACAATGAAGCCATACCAAGTGCTGAAAGAGGCCTTCCCTTACAAATGAGAATTATCAGGCTGTGTGGCTAGAAAAGCGAAAGGAGATGGGGAGTGAGGGGACACGGAGGCCAAATGGGAGAGTAACTTGCCTTCTGAGAAGCACCTCCCTTCAAAATGAGTGAGCCAAGCTCAGCCCAGAATGCCTTGCGGGAGCAGGCTCCTTGGAGCTTGCCTAAGCAGGCCAGTGGGAGCCTGCCAATTCCAACTTGCACGGTAAGCTTTGCTTTCCATCTTGACCTCTTTCGTGCAGAGGAATAGAACACAGCTAATTCTTTCACTCCTCCTAAGGCCCTAGTCTACGTATGAGAGTGTACAGCACCTACTCACGCTACCTTAGCCATTACAAACAACATCAGCTTTAAGACCTGCAGACAGACATGCTCTGAGCCAAATACAGATCACCTAAAAACAACTGTATGCTCATATGTTATAGCAACAGTAGTAGAAGGCTCCTGAAGCATTGTAAGTTTGCCATTCTCTCACCACCAAGTGCTCTGTATCTAGAACAGTGGCTGGAATGGAGTAGATGCTTAACAGCTGTTTGACAAATTGCCTCACAGTTGGATTCCACGAATAGCGTCACTATATCCTGCCCCGTGATTTTCTTGAGGTCACTGGTTGTCCATTTGCATCCAGGCAAGGACCTGGCACAACACTGGCACTCAAGACTGTCTGATCAGTGTTCAGGGAACATCATGGCCTTACTTTACCAGGGAAGTCATCTGTGTAGATGCTTCTTTACCTTTGGCCACTCAATCTGACTTATCATGTGCACTAGCCAAAGGTGTATTTAATCTGTTCATTCTTGTGAAGATAATGAAAATGACTAGAGTTTAATATACTGTATCCCTCAGCAGCTTATGAGATATTTGAGATCAGGGAGTATTTCTTATTCAGGTTTTCATCCCAGGCTCTAGCACAAAGTTCAGTAAACAGAGATTCATTCACTGAATTGGATTTTCGTGCAGAGCAAGGGATCATATATTGCAAGGAAATCATACCAGACCAGGAGTCAGAGGGCTGGGGGTTTCCTTGGCTATGTACCACTGGGAGAACTAAATGCCTCTCTGGGCTTCATATTACCCTTAGGTAAAAGAGCAGGGTTTGGAGTGTGTGAATTCCTCAGCCTCGTCTTTTATGGTTCTACTAGATTCTAAAAGGTGATGATGGGGACATTAGGAAGCAACCTGGCAGTGAGCAGAGGACCCTTTCCAAAATGTTCTCTCAGAATCAATCGTTCTAGCCCAGTCATAATTGTATTACTTTGTCTAGAAGCCTTTGATTAAGCCCTATATTTTTGTTTCTCCTAGCTGACTGTCAAGCTAAGTATATATCAGGCATTACCTAAAAGTGAATCCACTTTGCGCCTTTATTTCAAAAAACACAGAACAGCCATTTCAAAAGATTGGTAGTTTCTTACAAAGTTAAAACACTTTTTTACTACATGATACAGTAACCTTACTTGTGGGTACCCACAATCAAGAGAAATGAAAGCTATGCCCCATGTAGACTTGTACATAAGCATTCATGGCAGCTTCATCCAACATGAGCAAAAAAAGGAAATTACCCAATTTTTTATAACTAGGAGAATAAACTAGCTGTGACAAATTCATGCAAAGGAATGTTACTCAGCAGAATAAAAAGGAACAAAATACCAATACACATGAGAAGAGTGAATCTGAAGAACGCTATACTGAGTGAAAGAGGCACAACACAAAGGCCAGGTAGGGATGAACCCACTCACATATATGGAACAAGCCCAAGTCACAGCAGCGGTCACCTGTGGGCTATGGACTAAGAGGGGCATGAAGGAGGCCAAGGAGAGTAGGGACATGCTTGGTTTCTCATTGACATGGTCCCACATCTTGATGAGGGTGCTGATTATTATGTGCATGTATATATTTTTCCAAACTCATAAAATTGCTCATTTAAAATGGATCCATGCATTTCACTGTAGGTCAATCATTCCTCAATGTAAAGCACAAGATCCATTGAGATTCTTGGGGTTATCGAAATAAAGCAAAGGTGGTGTGAATTGTAAAGTAATTGAGACTTAGGGTTGCAGAGAAGAAGCAAAGATGTTGTGAATTGGAAAGTAAGAGACATGCAGTATGCCTATTCTGTGCTAGAAGCTATGCATATATCTTCTCTCATCTTTATAACCCTCAAAGTAGGTATTATTGTCACCATTTTACAGATATGCAAGCTAGAGCTTAGAGAAGGTAAAATAAACTTCCCACACCATATAGCTGGGTAGTAGCAAAGCTGAGTTTAGAACCTAAGTCTCACTGGCTTCATGTCCATCTGCTTTTGACTATCCTTTACTGCCTACCTGATGGACATAATAGTTCCTCCCTCTGTGGGTCTCAGTGTCCCCATCTACCAAATGTAGGGTGGGGTTGGCCTCTGATCCCTAAGGGGCTGCGAGCCAGGACTCTAAGGCAGTGGTATGATTTCCTCCAGGGAAAGCAGGCATACCCTCAGTCCGCTCCCCCAGGGCTTTCCTGAAGCCACCACCTGCTGCTGCAAGGGCCGGATAGCACCTTTGGAGGACTTGCCCTCTTAATTCGCAGAATTGCTAGCAGCTACTGCTCTAGGCTCAGGCTTGACACAGCTTGCAATCTACCTTTGTCAACTGTCCCTGAAGCCACATGGAAAGAGGTGAGTGAATTCTTGGGACATCAGGGCCAGAAGCACGTTCCTAGTCTCCTTGGGTAACATCCACAGAGACCAAAGGCCAGCTGAGAAAAGTTAGAGAGAAAAATCAGGGATGGTGTTTCATCCCGATCACCCATGGGCAAGTAGCAAGGCTGAATAAACCACAAGGACTGCTTGTACCTCTCTTTTCCTCTCCAAACACACAGTTCCGTGAAGAAAGTAAGGGTTACTTCTCTGGACTCAGCTCACAAGCAAGTCCCTGGGCTGCACTCCGACCCCAAGAGAGAGAAACTATATTTGAAGAATATTAAACTGCTGAGTATTAATGGTACATACCTGTAGTCCTGGCTATTCGAGAGGCTGAGGCAGGAGGATTACTTCCGCCAAGGAGTTCAAGGCCAGCCTGGGCAAGAAAAATAGAAAGAATGAAAGGGAAAAAAATTACAAACAAACAAAATTCTGAAAATTATCATTTGACTATGAAGAACTGCATCCCATGGCACCGCTGGAAAAATCTGAGTAGCTTCGTCTCATGTGATCCCTCTGTGAGGAGCTTCTATTCATGTGACCACGGGGGTAGGTCCTGCTTACAAGAAAGGGATGCTGCAAATGTACATCTAAGGGGATGTAAGCTACGAAATAGAAAGACACAAAGGGTCCGAGCGGACCTCAGAATACTGCCCAAACTTCTGCAAAAATCTCTGAACACAGAATCTAAAACCAGCTGTTTAGCCTCTACTCTATCGCATAGATAGTGCATGGACACTTTGACCACTCTTCTGCAAAATGGCACCTAGCACTCCCGGGCGGAGTTGGGCATCAGAGGGGTTGGTTGTCACGATGATCACTTGGAACCAGAGACCAGATTGGATCTTACTGAGCACAGCATTTGATGCTCTCCAATTCCTGCCCAGTTGGATTTCCACCCATGTTCCCCGACCCCTGAAGTCCTCAGCTTCTCTTACCTTAATTCTGGACCATCACCTGAGCCAGAGCAAGACTTTATGGCTGGGGCGAGGTGAGTGTTGAAGGCCAGAGCTGCCTGGACAGCTTTAGAGCAGCCCAGTGCTTGCGGAAGCAGGAGGCAGGGATTTGTACCCTCCCTTTGCTGCCTGCTAGCCCTCTAGCTGAGGCTGTACAAGGCGTTTCCTGCTAGCTATCTATTAAGAATGCAGAAAATGCACTCCAACAAGTCCATCTGGTTGGGCACCTGCAAGAATGAGGAAAATGGGTAGCTCCTTTTTGGACATTTCTTTCTTTTTGTATTAATAACCATTTTGTGATATTGTCTCTTGAGCAATTATTAGCCCTAAACCATACCCACGGTCAGGAACATCTAAAACGCCAGTTATGGGGTTTAAATCAAACCGATGTCATACTCAGTTGCAGGAACTGACAGCAATTTGGGTTTCCAGATGCCTTACAATTCTGGATTTGTCACAGGCTTCCATGGGCCACAGAGGGAGTGACCACTTCTACAATCCTGCACTGAAGGAAACAATTCTGGAGGATTGCTCCAGCAGGAGGTTTGCAATAGGAAGTCTCAAGGTTAAAAGGTTTGAAAAACCTTTAATATTGCCTCATTAAATGGTACCATCATTCAGGGCCCAACCTCTGGGGACATTCTTTGCCCTTGACTATTTTAATAACATTAATTCAACAAGTATTTATTGAACATATACTGTGTGTCAGGAACTATTCTGGAAGCTTTGTTCTCCAGGAAACAAATCAGACCAAATTTGCCTTCGTGGAATAAATGCACATGTGTATGTTTGTGTGTGCTTACTTAATGTGTATCATGCCAGTGCTTTGTACTATGAAGAGAAATAGGAAAGGGCCATCAGGAGTCCTGAAGCAGGGAAACTCCAAAAAAGGTGACATTTGACCCTAGCCCTGAGGAAGTCCTGTGGACACTTGCTTTCCTGATCCCCAAGGGAACATCAAATGCACAGGGTGAGATCACAGTTCGCCTCTTCACAGAACAGCCATCAGGCCAGCTTGGCTGGGTAGGGTGAGTGAGGAGAGTAGGGACCAGATGCCAGAAGACCTCAGCAGCCACTCTTCCGCTTTTCCTCTACTTGAGAAAGACCCACTAGAGGGCTTGGAGCAGCACATCGCCAAGTTCTGCAAGCTCTACCTTCCCACTGTTGTCCGACTGATCCTTCCCCACTGCCTCGTCAAAGCGCACCCTAGACCAAGCCCCCACCATCTCTCCCCAGGACCACCACACCAGCCTCTTATCTGGGCTCCCGACTTCTCCCTTCCCTCCATGACCCAGTCCCTACTTCAGTCTCTGACCTTATTTCTTGCCACTTGCATCTTCATTCCACTGCAATCCCACGGACTTCCTGGCTGTGCCTTGAACAGCTTGGGCACCGTCTACCTTTTACCCTGAAGGTTTCTTCTCCCCAGAATGCTCACCCCTCCAGGCATCCTGCTGACTCGCTCCCACACTTTATTCAAATCTTTGATCAGTCACTTCTTCCAAGGAGCCTTCTCTATCGTGTCCAGAGTAGCAGCCTCTGAGTTCTCTGCCCTATAACTCCACTTTGTGTTTCTTCATAGGGCTTTTCACTTCTTGATATCATATGTTGCATATTTATTTGGGTAAAGTTTCTCACCCTGTCTAAAATAATGCCTGGTGTATACTGGGGACTCAAATAAATATATGTGTGTGTTTTTGTTTTGTGTGTGTGTTTGTGTGTGTGTGTTTTACTTTGCTTTATTTGTTTATTTATTTATTTTTTGCTTTTCAGACAGGGTCTCACTATGTAGTAGAGACTGAACCAGAAATCCCTATGTAGCTCAGGCTGGTCTCGAACTCACAGCGATCCTTCTGCCTCAGCCTCCCGAGTGCTGGGATTACAGGCCTGCACCACCACTCCTGGCTGTTTTATTTTTTTGAGACAGGGTCTCGCTATGTAGTCCAGGCCGGCTTTGGACTCTATGTAATGAATCTGGCCTCAAACTCACAGCAATCCTCCTGCCTCAGCCTCTCGTGTGCTGGGGTTATAGGCATGCTCCACCACACCAGGCTCAGTAAATGTGTGTTGAGTGGATATATGAGAAATGTGGGGAGAAAGCGAATATTCCAATATTCACACAAAGAAATGTACAAGAGCCATAGTGATGAATTGACGCCTGGTACTAGGGCAGCCTCTATAATAAGGAAGCCTGATTTAATGAGGTTGACAGGGCACCTTTCCTGTGAAAACGATGCTTGAGCAAAGGAATGATAGGCCCATAAGGCTGAGAAGAAGTTCACCAAGGGAAGAGGAGAGAGAGGAGTGTTCTAAGTCGCAGAAATAGCACATGCAAAAGCCCTGAGGTGGGATGGGTTGCAAATATGAGTCCCAGAGAAAAGGAGACACTGTGTTTGGAACTGTCAGCGGACAAGAGGAGCACAACACAGCAGGAGCTGGAAAGGTAGTCAGGGGCCACAGCAAGGAGGATTTTGCAGGCAATACTAAAGAATTTTGTATTTTTCCTAAAAACAAGAGGCTATTGGAAGGTTTTATAGAAATATTTGCTCAGGACAGTAGAGATGGGGAGGGAAAGGGGAAAGATATCACCACGTGTTGTACTTTTAAAATATCAGTAGGGCTGCAGTGTGGAAAAAGGATTGAAGGAGTAAGTGAATGTGAATCAGCCAGTTAGAGGGATCTCCTCATGGTCTAGGGAGGGAACAGTGGTAGCTGGTTGCAAGAAAGGAGGTGCAAGTAGAAGGCAATGGATTTAAGAGGTATTTAGAAAATAAAGTCCATGATTTGGCACTGAATTGGATATAAGGAAGAAGTGATGTCAAGAATAAGCGCTAGATTCGGGGTTAAATAACTTGATTGATGAGTTTGCCTTTCACGAATACATGAAACATCGGAAGACTGTTATGCGTGGGAGAGAAAAATGAAGACTTCCGTTGGAGCATGTTGATTTTGAGGAGACTTAAAGATATTTAAAAAGAGATGACAGTATCCAGCCAGGACAGATGTCAGAGGTAGAGATACAAATTTGGGAGCAGGGAGAGTGGAATGTGAGACATAAAGAGGCACTAAGCCCAGAACCTAAAGAAAAGTGTGTTTCAAGAAGGCGGAACTAATCATCTGTGCCAAATACTTTCTGCAACCTATAAGAGCCTGGCGCCCCAAAAGCATCTGTAGAAGTTTGTAGCATGGAAGTCAGACATGACCTGATGAGAAGTGTTTGCTGGAGAGATAAGGCCAAATTAATAGTCAAGGGATGGAAGGAGAGGAAGATCTTGTACTGACAGCTTGGGGATTACTTTGTAAGAATGTGGAGGTGGAAGGGGGGATGGAAGGGGAGAGAGAGAGAGAGGGAGAAAGAGAGAAACAAAATTGGTGGGGTAGGAGTAGGAGTGTTGAACAATGTTGTTGCATCTTTTTCTTAAAAGGGTAGATTTCACCGTGATTAAAGCCAATTGAAAATATCCAGTTGAGAACATGGTGTTAAATATACCACAGAAAGAACAGCTTTGTAATAACATAAAATAGTGGAGAAAGCAGGTGGAGAGAATGAGATCAAGGTTCTTGTGAGGTTCTCAATAGGAGGCACGGTTCTGCTGTAACAGGAGGATAAGGACCTGGGATGGCTACAAACATAACGCAGTTTACAACTTCAGTACCTGAGCTGGTTATTCTTCCTTTACTCACTTTTAGTGGTCATAGGGATTGGACTAGAAGACAAGAGACGTTGACTGTAGTCTGGGATACTCTTCTAAACAAATTTGCATTTTTCAGGAAGTTATTTGTCATGCTTTTGCTCATTTTTAAAGCTATACTCTTCTGAGTAAATCAAGAGCGGGTGAAGTCTAAAATGGTAGAAAACAAACAGCCCGGAATGTTTTTTTTTATTGTGTTTTCAAATGTAAGTGCTCACAGTTCAAGGTGATAGGTTAATTTACTCATATAATATTATTTTCCTTCCTCAATTTCAGTAAAATGCCCCAAATAAAAAAACATGCAGAGTCCCCGAAAGTCAGAAAAGGTATCACTAGCAGATCAGAAAAATACAGTGTGCCAGGTACTGAGTTGAACAGTTTAAGCCATTTAAAGAATTCCATAAAGCAGGTACTACTACTATCCAATGTTTGGGAAAAAAAATTGAGTAAACAGAGCCACGGAGAAGATAAATAGTTTGTGCAAGCCAGGTAGTCTGGCACTATATACTAGGCTACTTTGTGTATCCTCCCAGAAGCAGTCAAAATTTCTAGAAATTAGAGGGCAGAACTCATACCCTGCTAATCCAGGAATTGGAAGAGATAGTGGAAAAATGATCACGTATCTTCTAAATGGGGCCCCAAGCAAAGCTCAGAGATGGCAGGACCTGGGAGCTAGAGTGAGTCATGGAGCAGAA